GGCAATTTCAATGGTGAAAATGACAGTAAAAAATATATCAAAATAAAAGAGAATCTGTAAAACAAAAGGGAATGGGTATAGGGAGAAGGAAGGTATGTGAGTGAACACTGTAAAACTAAATTACAATATAAAGTCAAAATGAATAGCTATGTTAAGGACCTGTATTGGTGGAGTGACTGTAATTTTTTAGTGAAGGCAACGATCAAGCTATAAGCAGGACATTTAAATAACAGTTTTCTTTGTTCACTCTTTTGTCATGTGTGCATTCATGAGAAAGCAAAGTACTATTTCTGTCAAATGGCAGATATTTGGGGTATATCATAAATTCCTGGCCAAAAATATTAAATATACTTGATCTCTGGTGGAAAATATATCCTTCCTTCCTTCCTTCCTTCCTTCCTAAAAACTATTATATGTATTTAACTCTGTTTTATTATCAAGGGAAACAAAGTCACATTTTGAAAGCCAAGCTTCCTAAGACTTATTGGATGATCCTATGTTGTTATAAAACCACACCTAAGCTAAGATTTATTTTTTATTTTTTTTTAAAGGGGTCCTAAGTATAGCTATCACTGAAATCAGTGAGATTTACTCTGGCGTTACCACAATTAAGGTTAGGCTGCAAAGTGCAGTGTGGCCCTATCTGATCCTCAAATAGGGATAGATTTGATTATATGTAAACAAAATACCAAAGTAGATCTTGGTTAGCTATTCAATGATCTGTTCCCTGAACGTTGTTCACTATAATGTCAAATATACAATGTTGTGTTCCTTTTAACTTTATAATTAGTCTGATTAAACTTCGCAGGTTTAGTGTCTCTGAGGGAAGCACAGAAACTCATCATTTCACAAATGAAAAGCTGATTGGATGGAACATATTTAAAGATATGTGAAGTTGTTAAACAAGGCCGGAATGAAAGGGGTTTTGACCCAATTGATCTTTCTTCCTAGCTTTTAAGCTTTATAGGCAAAATTCTATGTTGGCACAATTAAACATGACCGGATTAATGCTCAGTTTAGCATAGCACAATGCAGTTTTGGAGCTATTGTGTTGAGTTCACAACAATAGTTCTTAATTACTCTATTTAAAAAGGATTGCAAGTGGCCCTATTTTTGTGAATTCAGTAAATGTACAATAAATAAATTTAATAGCTGGTCAATATAATTTGTACATCATTACAAAATTTAAACAATACAGGTCAAGACACTGCAATTTGAATTACTCTTACGCAGTGCCTATGAATTTAGAAATACTTCAAAACAACACTAAAAAGACCTAACATAATATATGATCATACAAGGTTTGCAGCTGAATAGAAATTATTATAAAACATCAGCAAAAACTAAATCTCACTTACTGGCTGATAACCAGATGTCTATTCTGTTTTAAATCATATTAAAATCAAAATAAATCCCCATTTGATGATAAGAGAATGTTTGAAGAACTGGCCACACTGTTGAAGAATTTGGAAAATATCACATTAGAGTACAGATTTGGTGAGAATATTAAAGAAATATTATCCAAATTCTGCTATGGAATCTATTTCATGTATTGTGTTTTCCCGAAAATAAGACCTACCACGAAAATAAGACCTAGCTTGATTTTAACACATGCATCTAATATAAGCACTACCCCCAAAATAAGCCTTAGTTTTGGGGTGAGGTGCACTCGTAAAAATCAAGCTAAGGCGGGAGTGGGGGGTGGAGCTGCCTCACGTGCCCCACACCCACTTACCTTAGGACTGCTGCAGCTGCTGCCTGTGTTGTTCTGCAGCCGCTTGTGGCCGCACGACATGTGGCGCATCATGCCAGTGCTGCCGTTCACATTAGGACACCATGTGGCTCATCGCACTGATTGTGCCAGTGTTGCCGCTCATAGCACAAGGCCGTGTGGCTCAACACGCTGGTGCTGCCACTTGCGGCAGGAGGCTGCGTAGTGTGTGCGTGAGTGGTGGAACCAGTGTGATGGGCCATGCGGCCTCTTGCCGCGAGAGGTGGCACCGGCGTGATGAGCCACGTGGCCTCCTGCCACAAGCGGCATCTGTGATGCACCATGTGCCATGAAGCCACAAAAGAATTCAAGCAGTGGTGCGACAGATGTCAGGGCATGGGAGGCCTGGCTGCAGCGATCCTAAGTTAAGCAGGTACGTCTCGCCCCAAAATTAGGGTAGGGCTTATAATAGGCTTATAATAGGCACACGCGTAAAAATCAAGCTAGGTCTTATTTTCGGGATAGGTCTTATTTTCGGGGAAACACAATAATGAATTAATTAATTTGTACATGTATGTATATGAACCACCACATACATTTTTACCTGTTGATATCACCTTGCAGAAACAGTGCAATTCAGTATTCTGGCAGTAGGTAAAAATAGGAATGAAGAAAGCATTGTATATTGGGAAATTAAGAGAATCTGGACTAGAGCCAAATTCTGCATCTTGAGTCCTCCTGTGCTAATACTGAGCAGAGATTTTTCTCTTTTGAGCTCTGAGTGACTATTGATGCATGCATAGAACTTTCAAGCTTCCTATTGATTTTAATGTAGAGATCAGCTGCCTCCTATTTCTAGAGACTTTTACATAGCATAAAAATATTGGTAGGTTTTAATTTACAAACTTGATTCAATTGACAAGATAAATAGATATCATGTGCAACTTTTAAATTTCAAGATTCTTTAGAGCAGTGTTTCTGAACCTCAGCATCTTTAAGATGTGTGGACTTAAGTCCCAGCATTCACCCCACCAGCCTGAAGAAACACAGCTTTAAAGGAATATCTCTTCATGGAAGTAAATTGCAAATTATGCTTAAAATCTTGCCCCTTGTTTTTATGCATGTTTCTTCTGTAAATTCAGTCCCACTGAGTTCAATTATGTTTGTTCTGAAGTAAATGAAAATAGAATTGCAGGCTTAAATGCTCCCAATTATCAAGTTATTTTATGTATGATTACACCTGTAATTTCTGCTATGTAAATATTGAGATTAGCCCATTAAATTATATTTTTGTCATGTGATTCAAAATACCTTGATAATGCAGCATAGTTTTGCTTTTTACAACCCATTTAGATACACTTGACACAGACTTCTTGTTACAGTGAATATAATTTTACAAAGAGAATCATCAGTAGCTAATTTCCCTGGATTTTTCTTACTCTAAACAGACTGGGTGAAATTTGCCCTTTTCTGGATGGTATGTTAAATTAAGTACGTGTGTTTCTGAAAGAAGAACATTATAAAGACCAGGGAGGAGACTGGAAATAGTGATGATTTCTTGTTATCTAAATGATACTTTTGAAAATATTTCCACTTATATTTCTTTTTTCATTTTCAACACAGATCAAACTCTGAAACAAAGATTCTGGTTTAAATACTTCTGAAACTGCCGGATATAGCAGAAGTGAATATACTGCTCATTTACAATTCTTCATACCCAAAATATAGTAAAAGTAACAACTCTCTTGAAGGGAGCTAGACTACTGAACTTTGTAGTGGCTTGCCCTTGTCTTCTTCTGGTGTATGTTTTTGACTATTATTATCTCCCATCCAAGTATGAACTTAGTCTGACCTTGCATAGATTTTGAGATCAGTCAAACCTGTTGCCATCTGCTGTGGCTCTAGAATGTTTTAGCTTCCTTTAAAAAAAAAAAAACACCATGTTTTTGGGATGCACAGCTGCAGAGAATGGTTTAGACCAGTATTTCCCAAATGTGGCAACTTTAAGATTTGTGGACTTCAACTCCCAACATTTCCAGCCAGGGAACTTACATCCACGTATCTTAAAATTAGTAAGATTCAGAAACATGATTTAGATAACATCTGTTCAAGCACATCTATATTAAATCACATCTGAATGCAGGATAATATGTTTAACATACAGGATGCCCCAGTTCAATCCTTGGCATTTCTAAATCTGGCTGTAAAAACATCTGCTTGACAATTTACAGAGTGAAATTTTGAGGTAAAAACACTGGTGATCTGTTTCAGTACAAGAAAGCTTCCTACTTTGGACTGAAAAATAGTTTGCAATGTAATCATATGTAAGTCTACTTGAAGTTAATCTCATTGATTTCAGTGAGAGTTACCCTTGGTAGGTATGTTTAAATGACAAATGTAATGACCATTCTTTTTTCTAGGGATCCACTGCAAATATCGTTTTATTGGAAGGGTAATGGATCCTTAGCAGTCTTTTTGAGGCTAATTCTTCAGAAAGCCCACTTTATTGCTCTCATTTGTTTATTTATATATATTTGACCAGATAAATTTTGCTGACGTAAAACTCTTAGTTCCAAATATAAAAATATAACAACTACTTAATTTAATATGAATTCTAGATTAATTTACGCAAAATTATGTATGTGTGTTATAAGGTAGTCCTCGACTTACAACCGCAATTGACCCCAAAATTTCTGTTACTAAGCAAGACATTTGTGAATTTTGTCCCAGTTTACGACCTTTCTTGCCACAGTTGTTAAGTGAATTACTGCAGTTGTTAAGTAACCCAGTTGTTAAGGTCTCCCCATTAACTTTGCATGTCAGAAGGTCACAAATATGAATCAGCAGCCAAGCATTTGAATTTTCGTCACATGACCATGGGGATGCTGCAATGGTCGTAAGTGTGAAAAATGGTCATAAGTCACTCTTTTCAGTGCTGTTGTAACTTTAAACGGTCACTAAATTCACTGTTGCTAGTCGAGGACTACATGTACTGACTGGTAGCTCTTTCTCTTTAGGCACTAATTTAGAACTTGGTAAGCCTTAGTCATCTGGCTTCTGAACCTCATTCTGAATAATTTGCAGAGAAGTGAAAAGATGGAAGGCATACTTGATTTCTAACTGAGTAATGCCGAACTGGGTCCTCAGCTGCCAAAGAGATGCTGCTGAGCAAGATGAAAAAGAGGATCAGGTTGGTGAAAATGTTATTATTAACGATGCGATGGCAGTGGACCCGAAATCTGAAAAGAAAAAAAGAGAAAGAGATGAGAGACATAGCCTTATTCATCAGATATTATAGAGATCGATGTTTTATTTCAACCCTTCAATTTCTTAAGCTTATTTGTATGTCAGATGCCAACAGAAACAGAACATTTGACCATATGACCATCAGCAATCTGAAGTGAAACAGCCCGGTCACAGATTTGCCACTTCACTGAAAGTATCAGGACAAATAAATCACAAACAGATTTCTACTTATGACTTCCAACCTTCTGCAGGGAATAAAAGATGAAATAATGATTGTGACTTATGATATCCGTGGTTTTAAACATATTTTGGCATTGTAAATCTGAGCAGAGGGACTTTTGTTACTGAACTCACCCAAGTCATATGGGTGTCTAACTGAAGATCCAAGTAAAATGCTTCAAATAAATCAATACAGTTATTTTTAAAAAGAAAATAAAACTGTTATGGGGGAGGGGAGAGAGAGAGAATACTGTACTGTTTTTTTCAATAGAGTGAGAAGTTTTGTAATTCCCTAGGTCAGGGGTAGGCAACCTTGGCTCTTTTATGACTCGTGGACTTCAACTCCCAGAATTCCTGAGCCAGAATGGCTCAGCTTGGAAACCTTTCCCTTTCTCCTCAGCATGGCTGGCTCAGGAATTCTGGGAGTTGAAGTCCATGAGTCATAAAAGAGCCAAGGTTGCCTACCCCTGACCTAGGTAAAGGTAGTCGATTGTGATAATAGCCTTAAGATTTTGTTGTGAATGAATGTAGAATGATAACTGCAAAAACATTTAAATTTTGCTTCTAATCCCCCCCATCTCTTATTTCTACTCTTCTCATATCTATATCAAACCATTCTGCTCAGAATACAAGGAAGATTTTTATGGCTTGGAGATAAGGCCGCCCTTCCCTTTATGCCATCAAGGCCAGTAGGGGCTTTCATGGCAGCAAGTTGGCTCTTGGGCTAGATAAGAGCAGAGCTCTTATTCATCCATCCCTGATATAAACCAGGAAGCTTTTTTTTTTCACAGAGCAATTCTATCTTGACTGTTTGTCTTTTCCATTTTCCATCTAGAATGTATTTGTCTCTGTTCTGTCCCAGCCTCCGCAAAAACTGCTCAACCGCTTACACTCAAGGAAAAACCCCTTTGCATGGGACAAGGCAGGACTTGATAAGATAAACCCCTTTTATTTTGACACAGCTTTTACGGAAGAAAACCCCAATTAGTCCTTTAGCTGTTGAAACGAACAAGATTCAGTCTCTGAGTTCTCAGCTGGAATGCTCATTTAAATCACTCAAACACACAAAAATCCGACAAATCTGGTTAAATATCCAAGAATCCTGAGGCAAGAAACCCAACGACAGAAGCACAAAGCCGTAGCATGAACGGTTGCCTTCGGCAACCAGCCCCTCCCATGCCTCTCCTCTTTATAGTCCAGCCAGGGCGTGGCTTCTTAGAGTCTTTTACTTTTCCTGGAGAGCCGCCCCACCGCCCTCCGCTGTCCTGCACGCCTTTCCACCCTGCGCATCCGTGCATCTGGAACAGGCCCAGCTGCTCCTCGTCTTCACTCCGCCCCCAACCCAGCTGTCTCTCTGCCTGAGTGTGAGGAGATGGGCCCAGTATCACATCTAGCTCTGAGTCTTCGTGCTCTTCAGAGCCTTCCACAGACTCCGATGTGACCCCAGGCAACCCTTCTCCCTCATCCGACTCATCTGACTCGGCTGCCGGATCTGCTGGCAGGCGAGGACTCACAACAGTCTCTTATAACGTTCTTGAAGATGAGTGACAATAGTATACATTTTCCTATATCATAGAATTATCCACTGATTAAGACCTGCATTCAACTAGACCAGGGGTAGTCAACCTTGGCTCTTTTATGACTCGTGGACTACAACTCCCAGAATTCCTGAGCCAGCTCAGCTGGGATGGCTCAGGAATTCTGGGAGTTGTAGTCCACGAGTCATAAAAGAGCCAAGGTTGACTACCCCTGAACTAGACAGACTACAAAACATGCAACTTCCCACACTTTCTTAAAAGCATATCGAGACTGTTTTCATGATGGCACAAGGTCATACAAGAAACAACATACTTGTTGCTGGGACTGAAAACGAAAAAAGCACTGGCTTCCGGCATTGGCACTGCTTTCTCCTTAAGGTGCAGTTCAGACATAGGGCGAGGACGAGGCCCAACAGGCATCTCCGGTTCTTCTTCGTCCTCCTCTCCTAAAAGGTAAGGATCTTCATTTTTAGAATTAGTCATCATAAATAGCCTATGGATTTACCACATAAAGACATATCTGATTGTATATCTGCCTTAAAAGTAAAAAGTACTCCAATCTACCCCAAACTGGGGCTCACTAGTAACATATCTGCTTGTATAACACAAGTACCACTCCAGCATTCTGGACAGTGTGAACCATGTTGGCTAGATGTCCATGGAATCTCTATAATTCAGGTCATGGTTATCCCTAAGGTGCTTTTCAAAAGGCAACTGGACTTTCTTGATTTTTTTTCCCTTGAAAATGTTTCACTTCTCATCCAAGAAGCTTCTTCAGTTCTCAGAACTGCAAAAAGATGAAAAGCGAAATGTTTTCAAAGGAAAAAAACAAGAAAGTCCAGTTGCCTTTTGAAAAGCATGCTTGGGACATGTTGGCTAGGAATACTGGAAGTTGAAGACGGTCAGGGAAGAATGATTTGTTCTCCATCTTGGGCTGATTTGAAATTCTCCTGCCAAAATTATGAAAGGTCTTTCCCCCTTAATTTGAGAGGTCAGAGGAGGCTATGTTTCAACTTTGATAGAATGAAAGATCCTAACTTCTGTGTTTAAGATTGGAGTCTGAGGGAGTATGTACTTTATCTATGTACACTTGATCCTGAACAACTGTGTAACTCCTAGCAGAAAAGGAGAGTGATGCAAAAATCAAACTCTAGCTAAAGCCTTGCCAATTCTTTGTATGTGGAAATTAATTTCTTGGCAGGTCAGGTTAGACCAAGAAAATAGAGACAGAGACCAATGGAGAGCTCTTATTCAAATGGATGAGGATCTGTGCTAGACTTTCCAAACAGTGCAAGGCTAAGTAAATCTTACCAGACTATTGGATGTACTGTACAGTCTCATATCTATTCACATGGTTCCAAATAATGCAAATACACACCCACATCCAGAATTAAATGCAACTTGCACACTTATTTATTTCTAAAATTCAGTTAATCAACTCAATTATTTCTCATAGCAGCTAATGTACCTGTCACAGTAGACGACAAACATTATATAAAATCAACCATTAGTTGAAATATTTAACTCAAAATCAAACATTTCTGATAAGCAGACTCATTTTTAAAAATGTCAAACTTCAACAAACAAGGGAACTTTTTAACATTGTGTGTAGTGAATGGGGACAACATACTCCAGAAGTTCAGATACAAATAATTAATCATTAAAAATTAAATCTGCCAATCTAGGGCACAGAATGGCAAAGCCAGGGAACTGGGCAATCAATCAGAAGCAAGAAGAGAGGCAATATCTCTCTCCAGTTCCATCCTGGCTTAAGCAAGAAATATGCCTCAACCTGGGAAGTGGTTGAAGAAGTACAAGGAATTAGACCTCTAGAAAAAGGCTAAGTAGTTGTAAATTAGAATCTTATATTCATGGGTTTGTTGGATGCAGAGATATGTCTCTATATTCTTACTCCTATTTTCAAATCTGTATGAGCAATCACCTATGTCTGCTTCTGAAATCCATACAGATACTTACTATGGTTCATTTAACGATGGTTTGAAGTTACGATGGCTCAAAAAAAAGAGATTTATGACTCGTCCTTGAAGGTACAACTGTCACACCACCCTTGCAGTCATGTGATTGCAATTCAGGCCCTTGGCAACAGGCTTACATTTACAAAGATTGTAGCATCTTGCAGTTACATGACCAAAATGCAGCAGAGTAAGCAGTTACTTGTGTTTCTGTGCAGCACATGTTACATCTTTGCTGCAAGAGCTGCATTGGTTACCAGTTTGGTCTAGTGGTTAAGGTAAGAAAATGGGAGACTGTGAGTTCAAGTCCCGCCTTAGCTCAACCCACCTCATAGGGTTTTTGTTGTGGGGAAAACAGGAAGAAGAAGGTATATTCGATATGTTCATTGCCTTGAGTTGTTGTAAAAACAGTAAGGGCAATCAATTATTCAGTCAACGAACATAGACAAACAAGCTAATAGTAAACAATAGCCTAATCAAGGAACCACCAAGGTCACTCACACAGACACTGACAGGACAAGCCATTAGTTATATGTTATACCTGCATAGCAATGCATGGGAAAAAAATGACTGAAATTCAGTCACATACTTTCAGTTGCCATTTTGTGTTATTTTATCCTTCCCCGAGGATGTGTCTGGTCATTCCAGAAAATGGACAAGACAATGAATTACCTGGTGTCTCTGCAGTAGGATAGGGATTTTTTTCTTCATTTTCATTCGGCTGATATTCATCTGTGTTGCTCTGGGCAAAAGAGAAAACAGCCATTCTTTAGTTGTGCATATTCATTAATTCATAAAAACAGTCATCTCAAAGCAAGGTGGATATTGGAAAGCAGCAAACCTTATTAGAAGGTGGAGATTCTCCATCAGCTGTAATTGATTTCAGCTCAATTTTTTCCTCCTTTGTCTCTGCCTCCATAGCTGGCTTCTCGGGCTCGTGTTTCTTCTCAGGACTGGCAGTCCTACCAATTTAGCAGACACACACACAAAAAATCAGCTAATGAATTGCCAATACTGACTTCCTTGAGTAGCGGATAGCCCAATAGACAAGCCCAAGAATATTTCCTTATCTTCATAAACATTTGCTCCTCTTAGAAACAAGTAATATTAATAATCATGTGCCTACCAGACTTTCAAAACACCTGGCATCCTGAAATAATCTAGCAAGTTAATAGAAGGAAAGTTCATCATCTGCTTTCCAACCAGTGGTCCTAATTAAATGATGGTGAACAAAATGTCCAACATTCGGAAAATGCCTAACTTGATTCTGCTAGTATGTCAGTCAGTCAGTCAGTCAGTCAGTCAGTCAGTCAGTCAGTCAGTCAGTCAGTCAGTCAGTCAGTCAGTCAGTCAGTCACTCACTCACTCACTCACTCACTCACTCACTCACTCACTCACTCACTCACCTCAAAGAAAAGATGGAAAATTCTCTCCCCCCCCACCAAATCTAGGCCATACTGAACAGTGGCACTCAGCAGAAGCGCTGAGCCTGGCCCTGAAGTTGAAGACTTCAGTCCTAATGCCACCACTGCCATTCAAAAGGCCACTCGGTGAGTTTTAGGGAATGGAGCAATTTCACCTGTGGCCCAGCACTCCCCAGGATCTGCCATGTGCCGCTTACTTTCAGGCTGGGTTCTCTGTCTCTTGAGAGGCCTCGGCAGCCTACCCAAAGCTGCTGTTGCTTGAACCATTTGGAGAATGTTCCTTTACGGTCTCCGAAAACCTCACGAAAGGATGCCTCATTCTTGTGTGATTTTCAGAGACTCTGGAGGCTGTGCAGGAGTACAGCTCTCTTGTACAACTTCCAGAGGCCATGCAAGAGCGCCCTCCATTCTCACATAGCCTCCACAACCTCTAAAAAAATCACACAAGAATGAATGTGCTTTGGAGAATAGTTCTCATGTGTGGGTGAGCACTAGCATTTCACCCAAAATATTGTGGCATGTCACCTTTATATGCATGTCATAGTTCGCCATCACTGTCCTATCAGTTGTACTTTGTTTGGGAGCTACTTTTTCCCCAAATTATTTGTACAGGATCTTCAGCCTGCAGTGAAAATAACCTTTTTCCTTCATTTTTTTTTTTTAAAAAATATTTTAGTTTCCAAGCTGCCAATCCTGCTTCAGGCTGTGCAAAAGCTACTTAAAATTTCAACAGACACCCAGGGTATGTAGATATTCCACCTTTTCTGATCTTTATTGTTCAAGCCAAAAGAGCTCCCATGTATTGGCATTGAAAGATGAAGTGCTTAAGCAGGTATTTTGCAATTTGTATGGCTGGCTTCCTGGATTAAACCAAATCCTGTTGGTGAAAGATGCTTCGTTTTCTCCAGAATATCTTTTACTTTATAACTTTAGCCAGAAGGAGCATGGTGGCTCTCACGGTTAGGACGCTGGGTTGGAGGTTAGCAAGCCTGTGTTTGTGACTCGAGTGCTGCTTGGGGCAGAGTGAGCTCTCGTCCTTCGCTCCAGCTCCTGCTGGGGACATGAAAGGAGCCCCCAACTGAGCGTCCCCTCAGGCAACAGTGATGTCGCCGGCTAATCTTTTCAGTCAGGAAGCGCCTGGGTGCTTCTGACACAAGTGCAAAAAACCATAGGTAGAAATATTGTACCTAACAAAGCATAAGAAGCTCTTGTTCCGGACATGTTTTTACTCTCCGGCAAAAAAAATGCTAATATTTTTAATGCCAAAATAGACAAAAGTTTACCTTGCTAGTTTTTTCCTTTCTTTTTCCTCTTCCTCCTCCTTTTGAGCAGATGTTAGGCTTTCAGCATCAGCAAGATTGTCAACAGCAATGGCCAAGAAGACATTCAGCAAGATATCTATTTGCATATTGTTTAAAGAAAATATCGGTGAATATCTATGAAGCACAATCCTGTGAAATGGTATTTAAAATGTCCCACATGTGATATGCAACATAAAGATAAGCATTCAAATTCATATTAATAATTTTAAGGGTAAAAGCATAAATTATTTCACATACTTCACCAAGAATAGCAGACACAGCAGTGTTTCCCAATGCACAAAAAAAATGTTCATCAAGAATAAACGTTTAAGTAAAAGTTAGCATCCTTAGATCCAAATTACCACACATGAAGATTACACAACTGAAAAAAGAGAGGGAATTTGGCTAATTTCAGATAGTCAGTACTAGGAATATGCCTTCGCTATAGTTTTACATACATACATACATACATACATACATACATACATACATACATACATACATACATTAGGTCCTGTGCAGAACACATTGGGTAGCAAGTGACTGCCAGCAGTTTCAATCATTTGCAGCATCTTCTGATTCATCTCAAGATATATTAATAATCTTAAGATCTTTCTTTAGTGTTTGGTGCCAACTTTTCCAAGTCTGGCCTTGTTTCCTCTTCCCTCCAGGAGACATCCAACGTAGTGCAATTTTGGAATAAGTAATATATGGTCAACAAGCCACATTCGACATTCATTGACAGTTCTCAATAGGTGTTCTAAATCTGATCTTTGTAGTACCTTCTCATTAGTGATGTGGTCACGATGTGAAACATGGAGTATTTTTTTCTCAAGCTGCGTTGTTGCAAAACATTTAACTGTTTAATCATCTTGGTTGTACACTTCCATGTTTCACAAGCATATATTACAGTTGATATGACAACACTCTTTAGGAGTTTTGTCTTTGTGGTAATACTTATGGCTGCTGTAGAGCCTTGAAACATGGCTGCTGCCATTCCAATTTGATAGTTAATGTCCTTATCTGTACCTCCATCGATAGACATGTTACCAAAATAAGTAAATTGTTGGACTTGTTCTATAGCCTGGCCATAGACTGTTATAGGCATATTACCCTGAGAACTTCCGACTTGCATAAACATGGTCTTCTCAAAATTTATACGTAAGACAATCTTTTTGGCCTCATTATCTAAACTGATGGTCATTTCTTGCAAGCACCCCTTTTTTCACCAAGCAATGCAATGTCATCCGCAAAATCTAAATCTGTTAAATGAGGTATTGTCCATGGGATGCCAAAACTAGGGTTATCCATCGCTCTATGCATACCAAAGTCCATGGAGAGAAGCAAGAATGGCGATCGCATATATCTCTGTTTTACTCCTGTATCAATATTAAAGAAGTCTGTGTTGCCAGATTCCATTCGTACACAGCAGCTAGAGTTATAATACAGGTTCTTAAAGATATTGATAAAAGATTGAGGAATACAATAGGACTTTACAATATTCCATAGTGATTCTCGATGAATAGACCCTTTTTGAAATCAATAAAATTACCATTGGCTTCTGGTATTTTTATAGTTTTGAAATGCATTATTTAAAAATGTACTCAAAATGTGGTCCTTACATAATACCGTGAGTAGAATTAAGATTCGCCCAGTCCTGTTTCAAACTACCTGTGTTTCATTGGATCCTGTAATGCAGAATTGTCTGCCTTTCCATTACTAAAAGCATAAAACCTCTCTTTGATGAAGGGATAGGCAGCTGTTAATAGTGGAAGCAGTTTTGCTAGGAATGGAAATAGCATCTGGGAGTTTCAAGATCTTGAGCAGGAAACTGAAGCAAAGTGCATTGTTAAAAGTCAATTAATCAATTAACTTCATAGCCTTGATCACAAAGTTAGCTTCACCTAGTCTGGCACTGACTTAATCATAGCATATGGGAAAAATGGAACCATAGCTCCATTCTAGTAGGAAGGAGCTATCAAGTGATCAGGTCAAATTCATACACATGCCAAATGCTTATTTTAAGATCATGTGTTTTAAAAAAGTATGTATGTGTGAATAGAGATCGATATAATGAGGAAGTATATCCCAAAGCACATTTAAAAGCCATTAAAATATGGGTTATTGTGCATATTTTTAAAAATTGAATATTAATAGGAATATGAGCTAGAATGATTAAATGCAATAAACCTGACTCAGAACAAGATTAATAAAACATATGCAAAGGGTCCCTGTTCTAGCACCTATTGTCTAAAGAAAGAATGAATATTCTCTTGCCTGAAATCCTGGAGAAACAGTAAACTAGGATGGACCAATGGTCTGATTCAATACGAACTCCCTTCTGGTGACCCTATGGATTTGATGATGGGCTTGAAAATCTATGCCCAACAAATGTACAGGTCTGAAATTTATCCAAGGAACTTTTGTTCTTCTTGTGATTTTCTATCCATTTTCCCACTTGAAGAAGAACAAACCAGCAAACCAACCCTCTCTACTCTGAGATGGGTTCAAGTTGAAATCCAACAGATAGTGGCTCTTTTTCTTTCTGTTTGCTAAGCACTGATGTTTTTAATTCCCTAATCCAGAAGGAGCAATAGTTGAGCTAGCAGGAGATGGCAGAGAGGAAGAAGAGTGGCAGGATGTAGTCTCAGTAAGTAAAGACCATTTTATCATATATGAGTCCCAACTGGTGCTTAACCGTATCAGTTGCTGATGCTGCCCTATAGTTCATTCAAACTATATTCAAACTATTTGCAACAGAGAAACACTCAAGGATACAGTTTCCACAGATGAAGAGGATGATGAAGTAAATACAGACCAACATTCCTGGAAAAGAGGGGCCGCCATAAGCCATGATTCCATCATACATCACTGAATTCCAGTCCTCCCCAGTCAGGATCTAAATGACACATTCCCACCAATGGGGGGATACATAGTTAGACAGCATGCAGAACACCTGCAAAAAAAGCCTGTTACAAGAAATAACACCATCCTGTTCTATCTTGAAGAAACCTGCCTGATCAGTAAACATCCAAGGTACTGACTCAGATCTCCATTTGAATTTCAAGATACAAATGGAAGGATACTTTGCACATGTGGATACTTTACATATTCACCATCTCAGGCTGCAGAGTAGAATCTTAGTCTATATGCACCTGATGGACTTTATAGATTATCTAGTCCATCCTTCTGCTTAATTCCTAAACTGAACTACTGATTATAGTCATCCAATGTCCACTGGAAAAGTCTCAAACGAGGGAGATATAGCACAAATCTAGACAGATTATTGTTTAGCATCTCTTACAGTTAGGAAATTATGTCTAATATTCAGCATGGATCTCCTTTCCTTTAATTTTAGTCAGTGAAGAGTGCATTGGGACTCATACTGTAGATACAATGCTTCTGTTATTTCAGCACCCCAAAAGCATTGACTTTTTGTTTTTTTTGTTCTGCTGTCTCATACCATGTGTTTATACCGATCCATTGTAACCTCTAGATCTTTCTTATAAATAACTGCTGCCGGCCTAGATCTCCCCAATCTTGCATTTATACATTCGATATTTCCTATTCAGATAACTATTCACCTTGCCCTATTTTTGCCTGCTTTAGGAAATGTTGCAAGATTTTTTTAAAAATGTCCTAGCAATTAATGAATATTAATTATATTTTTGAAAGCATTTAATTTAATATAGGTTGGCCTAGACATAAGAATCCTGTTACATTGCTTCTTAAGAGTGCATTATTTTTTAAAATAGACTGAAAGAAAACTGTACCTGAAACACAGTGAGCAAAGACTGTGGAAAGTTGTCAAAGGTGCTTCTCCTGGTCTGCATCTCATCAAAGTTAAACTTGCCCCCAAAGAGCTGCATTCCTAGGAGGGAGAAGATGATGATGAAGAGGAAGAGGAGCAGCAGCAGGGAGGCAATGGAGCGCACTGAGTTGAGCAAGGAAGCCACCAAATTACTCAAGGAATTCCAGTACCTGGGGAGCCAAACAAACAAAAAGCAGGTGTTTCTTGTCTGTGTTAGGTATTTCTTTGGGGAACGCTGCCTGACACCCATGAACATGTCTTTTCCAAAGAATGAACCAAGAAATTAATAATTCAGATATTCCCTCCCCCAAATGAGATATACAGTAGAAAACTAGTATTTTTATGACCACGGAAATAAAACACAGACTTTTCTGCACCTTGAACACTTAGGGCATATATCAGTATGCAATAGTTTGTAGGAATTTACAGGGAAGTAATCTCATCCAGAACAAGTGATAGAGAATCTGTGAAATCAGGGGGGACCTAGATCCTAAAGCTATTATGTCTCCATAAACTCCAGTCATCGACAGAATCTCATGTCACCTGGGTGGTCAAGTGTGGAGATCCTATGCCAGTGATGGCGAACCTTTTAGAGATCGAGTGCCCAAAAACCACCCCCACCCCTGTCCCCGCTCCGCCCTGCCTGCTGGGCCGCCCGCCACAGATCACCCAGGCAGCCCAGCAGCGCCATGGCGGCCACACCCTCCACCCATGCCCCACAGCATCATCTGTGCATAACAGGGTATAAGGGCGGAGTCTTGTTCCTGCTGCTCGGCTACTATGTCCTTGGCTGTGCTGCTTCGCGTGGGCTGCGCCCGGGGGCAACTCTCCTCTGGGAGGGCTGCTGGTGAGGAGGGGGCCGTGGGAGGAGGTGGGGTTGGGGCAATGGTGCGTGTGCCCACGGAGAGGGCTACAAGTGCCGCCTCTGGCACGCGTGCCATAGGTTTGCCACCACTGTCCTATGCTGTTGAATGACCTCACCCAGCAGCTTCATATATAGTTTAAATAGGAGTGGAGAGTGTGTTGAACCCTGCATCATCTCATAAAGCAGGGGCCATGGATAAGACTTCTCCTCCACCCATCAACACTACCTGGAACTATTCCCAAAGGAAGGAATAGAACCAATGTGAAATAGGGCCACCCATTCCCAACCCCTGAATGAGTCCAGAAGGATTTCATGATCAACAGTGTTGACAACTGTCAGCCCTTCAAGACAGATCAACTACCGTAGGAAACCAAAGTCATGCATTCTAATGCTTTTATTATAAAATTATTTATTTATTTAATTTATATGCCACCCATATCATTGTTACGTAGTAACATAGTAACCGAATCTGAAGCCTGAGTGTGCTTCTTCCTTTAACTTCATGACAATTTGGTAGGGGCCTTGTCTGAGAGGCTTACTCGGGTTACAGTTCTGGCCTAGATTCAGTTTTATCAGACCCTTGCCCTGGTTGCAGCTTTTCCTCCTGTTCCTCAACATTATTCTTTCCATTACAAAAGCTGGTGAAAAATCTAGGGGGACCAAGCATGGATACACTACCCCTATCCCACTCCTGTCAAAGGTCATCCACTAATGCAATCAATGCTGTTTCAAGCCTATGTCAATGTTTGAAACATGATTGGAAGCGGTCCTGATAATTAGCCACATCCAGAGTTCTTTGGAGTTGCTGCACAACCATTTTCTCAGTCACTGTTCCTAAAATGTCTTCCAATATCATGAGTTGGGAACTTCATTGCTAACCTGGCCAGACAATCAAGGAGACTAAGAAGAGATGTTAACATGCAGTAGGGAAGCTGATACAAATCCAACCATTCAAACTAACTCCTAGAGCTGAAACTAACAGGGCCTGTGGACCAGTGCTCTGGATGCCAACAGAGAAATTTAGGTGACATAGCCATACCCCACCCCTGACCTGGGTTCTTGATTGATGCCACACCTGAAACCCAGGTGGGCACACCTCCAAGAGAGGAACACTCCCCTCCAAGCCCAATCAAATCTTGTTGATATACATCAGGTCAGCCCTAAGTGATCAGCTCACAGATGAAAGAGGCCTTACTACAGATTTTGCTTTGAGAGAATAGCAACATATACACTTTCACAGAGAGAATGCAATGAGGTAAAGTGGAACATAAAAATTGTAGTATGCCCCCATATACACCCTCTGTGCTGCCAACACTATAATGCAAAACATATATAATGATAGAAACCAGATTTGGCCACACAAATAATTCCAAGTAGTCAGAGGGGGAATTATAATGAAAAGAAAAACTAGTTCCATATTTGATCAAACCCAAATAAAAAGACTTAGTCTATTATAACTCAGTTCTTTATAAAACCTCTTAATATTAGGTTTCTGCCCCTTTCCCTGTTATTGTATTATTTGCTTTCTGTAAGCCAAAAGCTCTTATGTTGAAATTATGTATCTGCCTTTTGCAATCAGCCATTTTACCAATTATGATGATAAAGAAGAAATGCAGAACATTACTTTATGATAACTAACTTTGCACACTCTAAAACCATTTGTGATCATGTAATTCTCAATGGATTTTCTATTTTTACAGTCTGTGATTTACTGGATTTAGTTCTATTAGAAAAATGACTTTATGTTCCATTTTAATGTAGTTGTTTTGTGTGCCACTAGAGACTTAGTGTTATATGGTTGCAATATACCCACAGTTAATAAATAATCAGGAATAACAGCCTTCGTTTCAATTATGCCACCCAGAATAGCTTCTTTGGCAAGATGGTCGGCTATATAAATTGGACAAATAAATAAATAAAATAAAAATAAAGGCCTCTGGATGTGGAGGAGAGAGAATGAGCATTTGCAAGGGAGGAGAAAGAGAAGATAGAGCACAAGTTCTCTTTTGATTTTTTTGTTTTTGTTTTTAGGTGTATGATCTGAATTCAGGAATTTGTGGGGCAATTGAGACCATCTATAGATAATCAATAGCTTTAACAATATCACCGTGTGACTATTTAGGTAGTTCGTTTGTTTGAGGTGATTCTGGTCTTATGTCAGCCCATCATGGTAATGTAGACTAAGAAACCAGTGTCACGCAGGTCCAAAATAACTATAGTAACAGAACCTTGGAAGTATGTTCTTCTACTTCCTTCATTTTATCTTCGTATAACTAGGGAGCAGCTTGTTTAAATTATTTTCTTGACCCAAGTTCAAGACCCTCTGATTGTTCACTTGATAGTGGAACTTCTGCCTATTTTTCAAGGCCACAACCTTTAAAAAGAGGAGACCTGGAGTGTGCCCATCCAGTTGTACCTGGTGGGACATACAGAAACAACTGGGGAGAGTCAGTTTCAGGTTCTAAGCAAGGTGATTTTTTGGCAAAGTCAATAGTATCAAATCTGGTAAATTTAAATTTTTCTACAATATTTGATTAATCCCTTTAGTACCTCCAAGAGTTCAGATTGCTATAGGTATTGTAGCTAACACTCTCTTCTAAAGTCTTTTAAAAATAAAGGTATACAACAACCTTTACACAAGATAGAAGTCTTTTGAGAAACAGGATTTAGTTAGTTTAGAACAATAAACATCATGTATGTCTTAGAACTCTTTATCTAGCTGAGTAGAAATATCTTGCTTTACCCTGTCCTGACTGTCTTTTTTTAGATTCCAGGCTATTTCCAGGCCCAATACAATTTTTCGGGGTTTATCTAGCTTGGGACCAAGGTATCTGAATTATTTTGTACTCCTTGCTTAACAATCAATATTGGGACTAGCATTACAACTTGTGATTTTTTTACTGCTAGTTTCTCCAATGACTCTGCTTGTCGCAAGCTGGTTGGGAAGCACAAAAATGGTGATCATGTGATTGTGGGATGCTGCAATGTTTGTAAATGCTCACCAATTGCGAAGTGTCCAATTTTTGATTATGTGAATATGAGGAAGTTTTGACAGCCATAAATGAGGACCGGTCATAAAATTACTTTTTCTGTGCCATTGTAACTTCAAATGGGAAGTAAACACAGAAGTTGTTAAGCAAGGACTACCTGTACGTTTTAGAAGCATGTGGCCTGATCAACTGAGGCCTTTCAAATCTTGCTGCTCTACCTCCCAAATCTCCTCCCAAACAGGACTCCATTATTATTATCAAAATTAATATCTCACAAACATGGCAGTGTACAATAAAATAAATAGCCAAAACTAAGTCTAAATAATCATAAAACAATTAAAAATAAATACAAATAAGGCCATGGGAGAATGGATTAACATCCTGTAACTAACTCATAAGTTCCCTATTTCCACAGTATCCCCTAGGCTGCTGGAAAAATCATGTTTTAAAGGATTTTTGGAAGGCTAATAGAGTTGGGTTAAACTTTACCTCATCGAGTGATTGTTTTTATTTATTAAATTTATATGCTGCCCATCTCATTGTCAAGTGAGTCTATTCTTGCTTTGTCATGCCAATGGCTGACAAAGTCTACTTTATTTTACCTTTCAAACAGTCCTAGTTTTATGAAGTTCTTACTGGTTTTATGCCATATTTATATTTGATTGTGATTTTATTTGTTAGTGTATTTTAAATCTATTATTTCTTGTCCGCTGCCCTGCCCTATCTTATTTGCACAGCACCTTACAACACAGTGAAAAAAATAAGTAACAAAAGAACATATATAATTTAAAACATGTTGTTTCCACAGCACTAGTCATAGAAGAAGAAATGAGTTTCAAGGAAAGAATGATTTATGCAAAGGAGTGACAGATTTGTAATTTACCTTATTTGTTTAGAATAACATTTCCAAGTAGAAAATGGTGAACTTTCATTTTCCCCCTGTCAATCCCACTTAACATTAAAAACAATCATATACCTTGTGATTTTAAAGATTCTCAGAAGTCGTACACATCTCAGCACGGAGATGCCAAGTGGGGACATGATTTTTGTTTCCACTAAGATGGTTTCCAGAATTCCACCACACACGATGAAACAATCAAAGCGGTTGAAGAGGGACACAAAGTAAGCTTGAAGACCCAGGCTGTACATCTTCAGCAGCATCTCAGCCGTGAACAAAGCCAGCAATACCTTATTCGCAGTGTCTCATAAAAAATAAATAAACAAATAATGATCATTATAGTAGCACTGAAAGACTAGTTCAACCAAAAGACGCTAAGAACAAACCTATGAAACTTTACTTTGACTGTTAAATGCCAAATTAGATTTTCTGATTTGAACGGGCTTCTTCAGCAATCTAGAGGAAGCTCTATTTGTGATTTTACATTTTTGCAATTTGCAATTCTGAAGGAGGAATTTCAAATATGAAGGCAAATCTAGTATCAAAACTGAATGCTCAACTTGGCATAAGTTCTCTGCTTTTATCTCTTTTCTATAACATAGAAGTAGTTAAATTCCATCTTAATCTGGGTTCATTAAAAGCTCTCTACCCAAATAAACTGTAAATACACTTTAAATCAACATTATTACACATTTTGCTGGGCTTAATAATAATGGTTGCATTTCCCTGTAAGGAACAGTCATATCTGAATTTGGATTGTCTGCATACAGGTATTCCTAGACTTACAACCATTCATTTAATGACTGTTTGAAATTATAATCCCATGGGAAAAATTATTTACAACTGGTCTTTGCACTTACAGCCATAGAAGGATCCCTAAGGTCTCATGATTAAAACTTGGGCACTTGGCAACTAGCATATATTTATGATAGTTTCAGCATCTCGGAGTCATGTGAACACTATTTGTGATCTTCCAAGAGGTTTCCAACAAACAAGGTCAATAGGAAAAGCTAGATATGCTTATCAATTGTGTGATTTGCCTAACAACTGTGATGATTCTCTTAATGACTGTGTCAAAAAGATTGTAAAATAAGATGTGACTCCCTTAATAACTGTGATGGAAGTTCTGGTCCCAACTGTAATTGTTATTCAAGGACTACCTATACATGGATTTATATACCACCTAAATAAGGCAAGGAGGACCAAGAGGTCTATCTAACCTGCACATGAATAGCCTATATGCTCTAAAACAGTGGTTCTCAACCTTTTTAATGCCACGACCCCCAACTGGTCGTAAGTCGAGGACTAAACCGGTCATAGGTCGAGGACTAAACCAGTCGTAAGTCGAGGACTACCCAACCGGTCGTAAGTCGAGGACTTTCCCTGCTCGGGAGCGCCGCGCATGCGTGGTTCCGCCTCTTGTGCCAGCCGAGGCATAGCTGGCAAGCGGCAGAGATGGAGCAGGCCGACCACCAGCTGGCCCAGCCCAAGGGAAGTAAGGCACCCGTCGGAAAAGGGGAAAAAAATGGCAGACAGCCTTGCTTGGTGACCCCCGTGAAATGGTCGATCGACCCCAAATGGGGTCGCGACCCATAGGTTGAGAACCACTGCTCTAAAACATACTTCAGAGCCTATTTTTTCATACTTAGGGTTTATATAGCAGATATAATGTAGTTATTTGGTATACTGGTTTCTTAAATATCCCAGTACCATGCCATGCCATGCTAGGCCAAATTATATCGATTTGATTACAAACATCTTTCCAAAATCAATTTCTTATATTTCAAACACCTCTGTTAATATTTTGAGCTAGAAGATAGAATATATTCTTCCTAGTTTAACAGTTGGAAATATAAATCGATGATGGCATGGAAGATAATTTTCCTGGGTTCAAATATTTGGCCATCTCTGTTCTGGAATTTGGAAGTCCCAACAAGCATATTAAGTTTTGAAAGTTCCACAAGATTTCTTCATTCTCAAATATTAATCAGCTGATCCTATTGCATTTAACTGCCAGAAGACTTTTCACTATTACGGTATCTGAGCCTTATACATAACTTTATACTCTCATACAAATAAATCATAAAGTGGTATTGCTTAAAAAAGCAATTGTATGCACACAGAACTTGGAATATGGAATTGAAAATATTGCTTTTTTATGATCTTATTTTCTTCTTGATGTCTAGTAAATAATTGCAAAAAACAATAGAATACCAAATATTTTGAGAGGATATAAATAAGTTCAATTAATGAAAGATTGGAATGGTACAAAATACATACATATATATATATATATTATGCACTGATAATTAGTTTTGATATTTTGTAATTAATTCTTTCTGGGGCTTAAGCAATCAAATGGTTTTACGTCGTGTAGCCTTTCTGCATTCAGTTGATGTTCGCACAATGCTAACTCTCTGCCTCTTCTTACCTTGGACTTCAGTGAGCCAATCAGGTTGGTTGTAATGTTCAGAGGCAATGGCCAGTGTGTTGAGAAACACCAGGAAGATCACAAGCCAGTAGAACACATTGGATTTGACAGCAGCTCGGCATTTTCGTCTACAGAATCGATTCCATCTACGCCAGTAGCGGCTTGGAAAAAGGAAAACAAAAGAGAACATCTGACCTTCTGAAGTGCCTCACGACCTCAAAGATCACTTTTTCTCAAGAATGTCTGTTCTACTGAGTTTATAAGAAGAGGCGAAAAAGACACATTTATAACATTATCTCTAAACAATCCCCACCTTTTTTTTTTCTTGCAGATTTTTATTTTAACTTTAGTATTCCTGAAGTGTAAAATGGCTAGGTGAGACTACAAAAAGTACGTTCAAATTGTCCTACGCAATACTATCATTCATTAGAATGTATATTTATATATATTATACTTATTTATTAAATTTATATGCCATCCCTCTCATTAATATATTCATACGGAATGGTAAATTTTTAATTTAATTTAATTTACTGAATAAGAATTTTTCAGAAAGTGGCTTTTCACCCTAGTAAAGATGGTTAAGCATAAATTTGCCGTTTTTAGCCACAGAGGCTTTGGCACTTTAGCATGTAAGTTTAAGATTCAAGTTGATCATTTCCTTAGGTGATGACAGGACAGTTTGGGCATATAAGATACTGTTTGAGATACTGTGGAAAATATTGTTTTTAACCATTAAATCCCTTTCTTTTGCTTTAATACATAGAACTTTTCTCTTTCAACGGCTTACAATGAAGGACCGTAAGTTTAATGTTGTTTAAATAAAGCTTTTATAACTTTTGTTTTTGTGTATTTGCCTCTTGAAATAAGACAGGCTGGATTCACTCGGGAGCAACTAGTGGGAAACGTGCATGAAAATGTATGCATATGTTCCATTTTGTTCCACTTTGTAGCTCCAACAAAAACTGCTGTTAGAAATGGGAAGAAGTGGCAGATTCCTGGTTTTCATTTCTTCTCATACACCACAAAAGATACAAAGCTGCTGATTCAAAAACACAACTAATCTGTGTGGTTAGTTAGAATTCAGTAGTTTAGTTTGTGTAAATATGAGTCCTTATGCTTAAAATGAGCATAATGGTTATTAGATTACATTCCAGTTGTTGAATTCTCCTTGGGCTTTTCTACCATAAAGTAGTAATTTCCTAATTATTGAATAGCCACAGGCTTTATCTTTGATTACAGGAGTTGACCCTTTCCTGTTCCTGCTGAATATAATTATAACTATATTGGATTTCATGATCAAGGTCTATAGTGGCTCATATCTCAACAACAATAACCAAAGTATTCTCTGGATCAAAATTGTTTTGAAGAATTCTATATCAAGGTCACAAGTATCTTCTCTCTTGTACCCAGAGTAATACTACTCATATGCTGAGATGGGCTACAAACACAATGTGATGTTACAATTTGCTTTTCTGGAATACATATGCCCCACATGAGAGTCATAGTGACTTCAGACAGTAATTACTAACACCCCCCTAAAAAAAGAGCTAATTATACATCTTCTATTCTTCAGAATTTAGCTTGCTTAGCAACCAGTTTCCAAGCAACTGGTGCCTAGTCTAGGCTTTTTATATGATGCATATTTAAAGGATGCAACTCATCTCTGCCCCCTTCTATCCCTGTCTCTGCCCAGTGATAAGAATAAGCAACAATTTATTTATTTAAAACATTTATATAGCTGCCCGTCTTTTATACAACTCTGGACTGCTCCCAGTCAAAACATTCTAGCTGAACTATCAATGAAATAATACGGTATGTGAATCTTCCAGCAATATCTTATCAGACAGTCTTCCATTTTTCTAAGATAATACCTTACAGCATATGATTCCTAAATTGCTGTCTGCCAGGTTTCTCACCCGTCTTTATATTTATATATGGAAATTCTGATGGTTTCTTATCCAACTATTTCTCAGGTCCGATATTATTAGCTTAGTTTTTCTCAGCCTTGAAAACTTTAAATTATATGGGCTTCAACTCCTAGAATTTTTCAGCCAGTCATGTTGGCTGGGGAACTCTGGGACTTGAAGTCCACAAATCCTAAAGGTTGTCAAGGTTAATAAACACTGGCTTAGCATTTTGAGATCAGCCAAAGTTGCTGATTATTACCTCGCTGGGTAATAATAATAGTTATAAGAACAAATAACCATTTGTCAGGTTCAAAAGTATCCAAATATTAGAAATCTAAGTGTTTTAAAATACTAAATATTTTTTACATAGACACCTAAAGAAATTATAACATATTCTTAAAAAAAACCCTTATTTTGTTCTACACTAAAAAAAAAGACTAATTTAAATTTTAAGTTAAACAAAAATATGGGTTTCAGAGGAGAAAATGTGGACTTCACTTGTTTTGTACTTAAGATTCTTGAACTATGATTTTTTTAAAGTTTCTAAGAAATTTGGTTTTTGTGAATGAAAAAATTCTTGCTAAGGCAGGCTTTTTAAAAGAGTTGCTCATAACATGTTTTCTAACTCATATAAAAACTGTACAGCTTTTTTTTTATGACTATGCAGAGGATTTTTTTTAACAAGGTCTGACTATTCACGAAGAAATTTGGACTAACTCTGACTCCAGTTACTCACAATGCTCTTATTGCTGTGTCCTTGATTCCTCTTCATGTATTCTAATAACCATTTTCCTCCTTGCATTTACATGATATTTAAATTACATTATTGTTAACAAGATCATATGGAGTTTAGTAATCAACAATTTAATACTTTATTAGATTTTATCTTCATTAGATTAATGTAAAGAATAATTAATTGTTGATTAAATGGGAAGAATGAGTAACCTTATACTGATCACAAATGTTAGCAGAATATTTATGATAAGCAATTACTATTCACAACAATAAGATCTATAAGTTCCTATTAATAAGAATCTCTCCAGAAGTGGAAAGAACATTTTTTGAAAAAATGAAATGCTTACCTAAACTTAGATTTAGAAATCCGGTGCCTGAAAAGGAAAGCAAATCATTATTATAAATACATGCTGTAATTTCTTAACTTCAACATCATTAAAAAAGAATGAGCTACACAGCTATTAAAAACTAGCATTGCTACTATTTGGCCTAACACCTAACTAGGTGTAACTAGTTTCTGCTTATACATCATGTTTAAGAAGGTGTCTGCTGGGGAGGGAAGACTGATATTACATGTGTTATGACATCACCACATAAATTATATTCCTTCACATTATTAGAATATGATATCATCATGGTTTCTTTGCGTCACTATTTATATTAATTACATTCAGCCATGTCAGATTGTTAGACACTATATAGCCCGTGCCACATTGGGTCATCCTTTTAGCAAATAATGGGAATCAGAGTGTTTTCTGGTTTCCCATTGACTTTGCTTATGGGAAGCTGGCAGGGAATATTGGAAATCACGATCACTTGACCATGGCTGGGCAGGGTGGCACTGCACTGGCCACAAGTTTTTGAAGATAACTATTCTGAAGATCCTTAAAATTCCAATATTTGAATTCCAATTTCAAGGAGTAATGGGTCCTGGATTTTGGATCCATTCTTGAAGTCTGCCCATTTGTGGTGCCTTAAGTTCCCCTCTGATGCCCGATTTGGATCAACTGAAAATTACGAACAAACAGACAGGAGAGGTTTCTTTAGTAGTATATAGATAGTAGGAAGCTCTTTTCTTGTAAGGCAAATACCAGTCCTCCAGATTTAGAAACTATACGTGACCAGCTAGTAGCAAAGAAAGAGGTAGAATGGGCAACAATGTGAGCCACAGCTATGGAACAAGTAAAAAGAACAATCAAGCTAAAGATGCTTGCACTTTCTTTAAAAATACTATAAGCACTCATGCAAATCTGACAAGCTCCCAGAAACCAATTAGCTGAATTCCAAGCTTATTGTCCCTCTATGGATTAGAAAATGTGCTAGTTATTTCACAAGCAATGGATCCTAAAAATATTATCACCATTAGATGCAAAACTTTTAAATCTGATTACATCTTTCATGTGGTCTTATACACACTTGATAATACAAGGGCTAGTAAGTTTACACCTACCTACCCTTATTGTGAAAATAAAAGAGGAATCTACCAGCTCTGGAGAAAAATGGAAATAACGATAACAAATTATTCCAATGATGGGCCAAAGAGAGTAATAGAGAGATAAATTCTTTGAAGGAAAATATTTATGTTGCTAGATGTTGAACATGATTTAATCTACTGAAATTCTGGAGAATGGATAATTTGATATTCTGGAGAATGTGATAATTTGGGAACAGGGAGGGTAATGTTGGCGTGTTTATTTGATCAAGAAACATTCACATGAGGAAAAGTAGATGTCATAAATGTGAAGAAGTAATATGTCTTTAGTAATGACATTTTTTTAAAAAAATGTCAGATATCACAAAAAACAATTTTTATAGATTTTAAAAAGCAAATAAGAAGCAAGTTCCCATTATTGCTTACTGCCTTTCAATGTGAAACATTCAAGATTCATTACAGTAGATTTATAAACCATTCATTGATTGATTATATGTCATCAAATTGGTATCAATTTTTAATGATTACATAGAATTGTCTAGGATGATATGTTCCCAACCTTCAGGTCTTCCGGAGTACATCCATAGTTGCTATAGTTGAGTCTATCTACCTTGTCCATCAAACCTCTAGAGAGCTTTAACTTTGCATAACATGTCCAAAATATGATAATTTGAGCCCGATTATTTGTACCTTGAGTGAGAACTCTTGATTTGTTTATTGATCCATTTGTTGTATCTTGGCTATAGTATTCTCAAGAGTCTTCCCATGCCTCAAAGTTCAAAGGCATCCACATTCTTTCTATCCTGCTTCTTCAAAGTCCAACTTCCATTTCCATTCCATGCATCATTTTTATCTCTATAGTTATTCATCACGGCATCAGAATATCATTTCTAAGATGTTTATTGCCACCTACTAAGTGTTAATCTGCAACGTATGTTTAATTATCATGCAGATAATTAGATGTCCTTGAATTCTCATTTTTCTAAGGACATTCCACAGCTTGACATGGTCAACACTATCAAAGGTTTTTCTATAATTAATGACAGAGATATTGACTTCTTTTTGGCTTTCTCAATTATTCAGTGTGCATCTGCAATAATGTTTCTTGTTGTTTGGCCTTTTCTAAAGCCACATTAAACATCTGGCCTTTTCTGAACATCTGGCATCGTCCTTTCCAGGTAAAGCTCTAATCTGCATTGGATGATTCTAAGCATTATTTTACTATCATGGGAAATTAAGGAAAGTGTCCAATTGTTTGCTGTTAATTCTTTCTCTTTGTATTCTTCCAATCTGCTGGTCATTGTATTATCCCCCAAATTTGCTGCCATAGTTTGGTTGGAATCATTACAGATTATTTTCATATTTCTGTAGCTATTCTATCAATTCCTATAGACTTCCAACTTGGTAATGACCAGAAAGCCAGATTAACTTCATCTTCTTATAAGTTCTAGAGAATCTTTTAAGTAGGGAATGTCTTGTAAGATATCTTGGGTGTGGATATTTCTACTGTGTAGAATTTCAGTATACCCATTCCATCTTTGATGTTCTTTGAATCATTTACTACTTGTTTGTTTGTGTTCTTTAGCATACCAATTTTGAAGATGAAATTTTCTTCTGAGTTTGGAAATCTTTTGGGAAAAAAATCTTGTTTTTCCATGTCTTTTTCAATATCTTGACAGATGTTGTGATGCTGCTTCTTGTCTCTTGAGCTCTGTGAAATTCTTGTTATGTTTCTTCCTAGAATCTCGGTGTTCTTTGGCTTTGGTTTCCTTTTTCTTTTTGGCTATTTCTGCCAGAGCCTGTGCTACCCAGTTTGCTTTCATCTTTTTCTTGATCTTTGGCAGTGTGTTTTTACATTTATTCTTATCATCTTATTTGATTTAGTTCCACAGTTCCTCTGGCTTCTTATCAGTGAACTTCACAACTTCAAATCAATTCCTGATGTTCTCCTTGAAAATGGTTGGTTGCTTAAGATCATACTCTGGAAACTGGAATATTATCATAAGATTACTTTATTCACTATATTCAAGAATATAGATAGGAGAATTAAGAAAAAGCATGGAGAATAGAAGTATAGTTCCTATTGTCAGGCACAAGGAACCAGAAAGACAATGTAAGATGAACAGACCTGCTTCTTTATTGTTGCCTACCTATTTACAAGAATCTTACCTAACTACATCCTCTTGGGAATGGTTAGATAAAGACTTCGGGAATTCTTGAGGGGGGGGAGGTCTGGCTGCTATCTTTGGGGGTATGAGTTAATAGAAAACCAGAATCATGACTGCATACAGAAAAATCAAAGAATAAAGCAAGCATAGATCTGAGGATTGTGATAATTATTAGATATTATAAGTGGAAATAGAAGTATTCAAACAGAAAAGAGGGAGAAAATTGAGTAAGCATCCATAAAAGAGATGGGGAAACTCTGGGGGCATAAGCAAAATGGATTAACTCTTAAATTAATTTTCAGGGGCCTCTAGATCAGGGCTTTTCAACCAATGGTACGGGTACCACCTGTGGTACATTGGCACCTGGCAGGTGGTACGCAACCATCCTAGAAAAGTGGTAGCAGGTGAGGGGAATAAGCTGAACCGGTGGCAGCACCGCACAAGCCTGAGTGAGAGATGGCTGGAACTGCAGGGCTGTCAGGGCTCAGCGGAAGTGCCAGGATCAGCGCTTCTTTGGGACTGTCAGGGCTCAGTGGAAGCGCCAGGATCAGCGCCAGGCTCCAACTGGAGCTCAGTGCTGATCCTGGCGCTTCCGCTGAGCCCAGAAGAAGCACCGATCAGCTGGAATGTTGCAGCATCTCCAGGATCTTGTGATTTACATTCAGATGCTTGGCAACTGATTCATATTTATGACAGTCACATTGAAGTGACCAAAACCTGCTGCAACCACCCAGCAGACGGGGGGAATAAAAACCAAATACCTCCCACCCCACCCCCACTGCCAATCCTCAACAGAAATGCTCACAACAATGAAAACCTTGGACAGGAGGAAGAGCGCCGCCAGGCAGGCGGGCAGGCAGGTGTCTTGCTTGGCTGTGCCTTGGGGGGCACTTTTTTTCAGTGCCATTGTAACTTTGAACAGTCACTAAGTGAACTGTTGTAAGTCGAGGACTACCTGTACTTTATCACTTTTTTCCTTTTTTTTTTTGGTCATCAAGTTTTTGACACCTTGCTAGGCGACTGGTGGTACTCGGATGTTGCCATATCCTAAAAATGGTACAATGGGTAAAAAGGTTGAAAAGCCCTGCTCTAGATAGTTGTAAACAGCATTCTTTTAATCAAAAAGTGCCTCAAACTGGATTGTCAGCTCTTTATCTACAAATTCAATAAATAATTATATTTTTGGAGTTCTTTCATGTAGTTCATTATTCAGACTTACTCCAGCTAAAAACATATAATGATACCACTGAAGAGGTGTAAGAAGATTTTCACTATTGTGAAGCAGGCTCCTTTAGCTGGAGTGAGAATTCTTTTTTGTATTGTTGCATTGCAGGAGAGCAGAGATCAGGGAACTCTAACGAGATCCATCAAAATTATCAGGCCCCAGAGACCCTTTAAAATTTTAAACTGGTCCTCATTAGAAAAATGAAATTCAAATTATACACTGGATGAATATAATGTAGGGGGTTTTTTTTGCATCAAAGCAGCTGAGCAGTATTTTGAAAATCTTTTTATCTAATTAAGCTAATAGATATGACTGTTATTTCACTTTTTATGCATGTAGTAATTTTACTGTGGGTTTTAAAAGCTGGAGCTAATACCATCATGCCAACAGGTTATTTAATAATCCCCTCTCATCTCTAACTTTACATATGCAGCAGCACTGACATTTTTTTTACCTGCTTCTCTTGATGAAATTTCTCACAAAACTGTTGGGGACAGCCAAGATCATTCAGTAAAACTGTAACATATTTTTGGTGGGTTATCAAGCAAC